ATATATATATATCTATATATATTCTCGGACCGCGTGAAGAAAACTCGACGTACAAAAGTACCAGGTCGTAATTACCTGTTTATGAAGATTTGTTTAATTAATGCTTGATAACTGTAAAGATGTTGGTTTTCTCGTTCTTTGTGGAAACCACCACCAGCCCCTATCACGTAATTCAATAACGCTAGTGGAAAAATACCCTGTTTCCTAAATGACTCGATTTTGATGTCACCCTGTCTCTTGGACAACTTGGATCCATCCGCGTTTAATATTAAAAGGTAAGTGTCCATATATGGGAGGATTCCAGCCAAGCGCTCTGCACGATAGACAAGATTTCTAGTCAAATTTTGTAAGAATTTAATTGTCCTCTCTCTCTCTCTCTCTCAAGTAAAATAGCTTACTTGTAAAGCATAATATGCTTAGGTGTAGAAACTTGTCATTCAACGTCCCGTAAGACATGAGATATTTCCATAAAATGGTCATCGACTACATTTGCAAAATGGTAAGTGGGATAGCCATCTGATTTTATGATAACTGGATCTCCCTCGGACTTGGTAAGATCATGCAACACGTCGCCGTAAACTATGTCGTGAAAGGCCGCCGGTGTGGACACCAACTGATTGCGAGATATGCAACAATTATATTGCGAGATATGCAACATTTATAAGTTTAGAAGAGACCTTAAATACCTTAAATCTAATACAATAAGTGATATTTTTCCAGAGCATTTCCTTTACTTGATCCTTGGTAAAATGTCGACACCTATTGTCATATTTAGGTACTTGTCCACACTTTATAGCCTCTCTCCTCAACAATTCCAGTCTTTTCTCCGTACAAAAGCAGTAATAAGCGGATTGATTGTCCAAGAGTTTAAGCGCCTGCTCTCTAGAAATAACGAGTAAGGCAACTTGGCATTGAAATTATTATAGCAGGAGCTGCCTTGCGACGATACACACTCTCTTATCGTCCTATGTACATAAGATTGGAATGATTACGAGATGGCAAGTTTACTTGTACAATTCGAGCCTTGACGACTGCCCATAGCAAATCATCCTGGAGTCTCTTTATTGCCCC